GGATTGACTGTATGTGTCACTTCAATTTTATATAATAAAAATTTATTTATCTTCTCTGGTTCTTGGTAAGGCTCTTTTTCTGTCTATTAAGAAGATAGCTACAACCGTTTTACGGTTGTCTGATGCTCAGCTGTGGTATATATCCACTGTGATGTTCTGTTTGTAAGGCGTGATAGAATAAAATACAATAGAATTAAATATTTTATTCAACATAAATTACAAGTAATACTTATTGAAAGTCACCTTTGCTTTTACTACTGGTTTGGAAAAATCATACGCCCTGGCAAGAAACCCAGCGGGACCCTTTTTTTAAATAATAGTTGATAATAATTTACTAATGTTTGTTTACAACCAATTGAATTATTTATTAGAAACAGAATAGTATCATCTCATTCTCAGGCATTATTATTATTCATCATTACAGCCCTTCACAAGTAGTGGACTTGCATAGCATAGGCATAGGCCTCCCCCAAGGAACGCCACAAAGCACGGTCCCGTGCCACCTGCATCCATTGATTTCTTGCATGTCTAACCAGGTCGTCACTCCATCTAGCGTATTCTATTATTATTAATAATATTGTAATAATCTACAGCTTTTGTTAAGTAAAAAATTTAAAGTTTTTGATAGATAGGTGAAGGATATTTTCCGGGACTTTTTTGTAAAAGTGTAAACTTTGCCCCAGGAATTACAGAATCATTGCTCACTGCTTGCTAGTATAGATATATGGGGGTCTTATTGAACCTACTAGTCAAAAGCGATACCCAAAAAAACTGTGATATGAACAGGGCCCAGCTCTTCCCCATTCTAAATAACATTGGTGTTTATATGCTTAACATTCAGTGCTTTAAATTTAATACATTTTGTTTTATTGCAATTCAAAAACAAATTATTAAAGCTAAACCATTATACATAGTTTGAAAATCGGTGAGGTATCATCAGCAAATAATAAGATACCGTGGTTGTTCCCTGCAAGGTAAGATAAATCACTAACATAAATTAAAAATAGAAATGGACCGAGCATTGAACCCTAAGAAACACCAATTTATACTACTGATCCGGAGGAACCGTTGGTAACAACTTTTAAATATCTGTTACTTATATATGAATTAATAAATTTAAAAGCAATATGTCTCTTACATTGGTCGTCGTAGGTGACAGCGGATCTATTGACATCTTTATTGAAAGTGTCCATGAGTTGCAGCAGCCACTTTCAATCAGGTGTACTGTTAACTCCATGACTAGCACTCTCTAAGACACTCCTTGATTACCACAATTACAATTAAGCAGATAATTCGCATTTTTAGCTTAAATGCTGCTGATTTATCAGCAATTTTGAACCACGTCTTAATCATCATCACCATAGTTGTCTTTTTATTATTGTATCGGAGATAGAGGGTAGAAAATAAAAATAAATAAACAGAAGTTGTGGTCGGTTGTAATGCATACTTTTTACAATCTATTTTAGTGTTAAGTACGTCCATCATGTTACACCATTGTGTTACCGGGACGCACGAGTATGACGGAACGGCTGCGCTACACTGAATGTGCGGTACACAATCTTTTTACTGATAATGAAAAATTGCATAAGCAAGACAGCAAGTTGAACACGCTCTCACTCTATTTTTATTTTTAACAAAAACGTCTTTATGTTTTTCCGATATATAAGTTACTACAATACACTATTACCCATGAAATATTCCCAATACTATATTTATTTATTTCAAAACTTTATTGTTCTAACCAATAAAAAGGTTACAAAGGACGGACATGTCAGTTAGCATTCTCTGCCACGGCGTGGTGAGAAATTAGCGGCAGGTGACTTAAGTAACTAAATACAATAAATTTATATAGATATAACACTTATTAAAATAAGGCTTATACATTACACAAATGCATATAAATACAAACAAATACATAATAATCCATATCGATACCTTAATTCACAAATCAGCCAACTCCATATGTAAAAATTTTACAGGAGACAGTTAAAACTTTCTAATTTCATTACTAATTAGAAATTAAAAAAAATTAAAATACCGTTGGTGTATTATGTTATTAGCTACTAAATTTCATTGTCTGTTTTATTTAAAATATTGTCATTACTAAAATATAGACGTTTTTTTGAGATATCCGCTTTTCCTACTAAATAAAAGTATGGAATATGGAATAAGCTGGTTTTACTTAGTATGAAGGTAAAATAAACACAATATTAATTTGTATTAGGTTATTTATTATTCGTGAGGGAGGTTTTCATAATAATTTTGGTAGTCATCAGTCATGGTATTTTTTAACTTTTGTAGATCTAAATACTTTTTCTTTTTTATTTTTCTGCGTTGGTCGTACATTTGCGGTAAATTTTCAAATAGAGTTTGGTCCACATTGTTGTTTCTGCGTTGGTTCAACAATGTATATTGGTCAGAGAATCTGAGTTTGTAATAAAGTCTTCCGGAAGGATCGTACTTGAGACACCTTATGTCGGTTACCTGGAAAAAAGATCAACATTATCATAGCTATATAACTACACAAAAACCACATAGGTACGCTTCTTGATTGTATAAATAGAAGAAAAGGTTTTAAAGAAGATGTAAAGGATGAATGAAAATGATAGTCTATCAGGTCGAATGTTGAATGAAATTAAGAACTTTGAACGACTTGTCATGTGTGAGCAACGCGAAAGTTATGGGTAAGATAGATGTGCCAGGATATTGAAAAATGAAGACCTTTAATCTCTGCCCATGTTGACTGGGAGACAGACGTGATGCTAATGTATGTATATGTGTAGGTAAGGGTGTAAGTATTTATGTGTGTGTGTACGGATATATGATATGTATATGTGTATTATGTAGACACTAGACAATAGCTTTGACTGCTTAGTGATCAGTACCTTCGGATTCTCTTTCAGTTTTTCGTGTCTGATAGATTTGTAAACGCTAAGGTTCTAGAAATTCTTAAAGTAGCCATAGTTTAAATATTTGACTTGATATGGTTTGCTGTTTCTGGCCTTCCAACAAATATTAATATATTCTGCCGGTACATTAATCGTCTGGTGTTTTACCTTCGTCTCAATCATAGCATGCATGCTGTCAACCTCCATTTCGGTGTGGCCCACTTCAAGGTATTTTTGGATGATCGTTACGTTATGCAACATTGCAACATTGACAAGAGCGTTGGTTAAAATAGTATTCCTACTTTGATAAGTATATCCATCAGAGTATAATATTATTTCTCGGTTATTTTCTCCCATTTTTGGGATGGCCGTTTCAATGGAAAACTTGGAGATTATAGTTGCAAACTCGTCAGAGTTCAGACCCTCTCAGTCTCAATCCACAGAAAACAGTAACCATCACCCATTTTCATATCGCACATACACCAGTTGTGCACACAAAGCTTTGTTTCATAATAATGTGAAGACACGTTGGACTGTGGTGCTAAAAGCACCGCTTGTAGATCTGCCGTAAACACAAATTATTTTTCTATTTTATCTGATTCTTTCTCTGCTCTTGCTGCTTCTTTTTTATTCACATGCTCGTCATAATCATCCTTGCTAGTTTTCTTGTTCCTAACTTATATCCATTGCAAATGATACACTGGTCTTTCTTTGGTTTGAATATTGATATTTTTTGGACAGTTAATGTATTTGAAAATGTGGCAATCGACAAAAGTTTAACATTTTTATCGCTGCAGTAGCTTTTGTAAAGGTCGTATAGTTGTCGCTTTGACTCGATATCGGGCTGTGGGTCAGTTACAGTCACAGTCCTGTGTTGTTCTTTGTCTGCAGTAATGCGAAGGCATTTTTGGCACCTCGTTTAAAAAGTTCTGCATTTCGACGAGCTCTTTGTCAAAAGGTTTCTTTAAAAAATGCTAAATTATAATAAAATAGTTTTTAACACTTTGCGAGCAAACTATGACGATGAGATTAAACTAAGTTAACTCCCAACACGTTCCCAGAAAAGTAAAAGAAAAACAGCTTAGAATGAAAACAGCATAAATACCTTATATAAACTGAATGTAATGCTAAAAAATATGCCAAATAAACATACCTTGAATAAATGGAGAACTAATGAAATAGCATTTGATATCTTCTCGATGTTAATAATTTTTTTTAAACTTCGAAAAACTTCTCTGCGACGCCATACAAAATGGTCGATCTCCGGGAGTTGGCTGTTAAAATCGTGGCATTCCGATACGCGTGGAGTTAGCTGGTTGTCGAATAGCGATTTATTCAAAAAGTAGGGATAAAAATGGAGTTGTTGTTTTTTCAAATCATCCGTCAGTCATATAGGCCGAAGACTGCATAAAAAGTGGAGTTGGCTGGTTTGCGGATTAACGTATCGATATATAACAATTATCCTTAATACATACATACATATAGACACAAATAAATATATACATACATACATAATATGTCTGCATAAAGGTAGCGGTATTGATATTATGCTGACGACACTGTTTTTGAGAGATGTTCCCAGACCATTATTTTGAAGGCTATCTTGTTTGGTGCTTTCCTAATGTCTTCAGGTAAGGAGTTCCAGAGTATTGTACCCTGAACAGTTAAAGAATTGCCTATAACTTTATTTTTGCATAGGTGCCTTAGATATGCAAAAATTAAATTTCAAAAACACCTAAACAATAACGGCAGAGCATCAGAGTTTCTTTTATAGAATAAGGATGACAAACGAGCACACAGTCCACCTACATCTATCTTCGATGGAGAATCAAAATGCAGATGCGTTGTTACCAATGAGGACTAAGATGGAATGCCTCGTTTTAGTAAAAACGGTCTCCGGTTTACTACACATTCGATACAAAAAACCGCAGTAATAAGCTGCTATTTTACACTGGTATTCTATTAGATCGTGGGCTTTCCCCGGTCTAGCCGACCAATTCGTTCTACCACATGTGGAAGTTTATTAGATAGGAAGGAAATTTAGAAAATTCTGCTAAACAGTAAACAGTACAGTAGGGAAGACACTAACATCCCAAATACAATTGTCTCCAGGTGCAGGTTGGACTTTGTCATGGTCGGTGCGACAGTCGTGGAAAACACTGACAGCGCCACCTACCGCTGCGGGAGACTGTGATTTACGAATTTTCGATGGTCTACGCGTCTTCTGCATGTTCTGTGTCATCATCGAACATGTATGCTGGCTCGCTACGCTATCTTACGTAGCTGATACCAGACATTACGAGCAGGTATGTAAAGAACCCCTAACCGATGTATAGCAATAGTGATAATAGTAGATATTTAATTATTTATTTTATAGAATAACGGTGTGACTCCTAGACATTTACAACGCAGATGCGTTGTCACCCCTGAGGTTCAAGATGGAATGCTTCGTTTCCAGTAAAAAGAGATCTCTATTTATCTACACTGACTATATTATATACTATCTACATTAAGTCGCCGTTTTACGCTGGTATTCTGTGCTAGGACATTTACATACAATCTTAGGCGAATAGGTTCGATTCTAGTTCGTAAAACTTATTTTCTGCCTGTGGACTCCTCTGCCTAGGTGCCTCTTACATATTTTTGCCGCTAAATAGCAGTGTCTTCATTGCTGTGTATCTGTCTGAAACGTATAGAGTATATATTACAGGCTGTGAAGCATTCCATCTTAGTTCTCGGGGATGACAACGCATCTGTAGCCTCCTTTGTTGGCTGCAAGTGTACATGGAGTGTAATAACCACGTACCATAAGGTCGTTTGTCACTTTTTTTTAAAATCATCTGGCTTAAGGGTGGAACCTACTTGGTTGATTGTAGCCAAACCTCGCTTCTCAAGTCCGGAAGGTACCTTCCGTTACTTCATCAAAACACACAAAAATATTATATATATGCAGCCTTACTTATTAACGATTGTTTACTTATTAAGTATTCATTATATCTACATCTGTCTCTACCTTTTTTTTTTGGAGAGGATTAGCTGGATTTTTGAACATAGCTCAGAAGCGAATAACAATGTAGGAATATGAAAATAAAAACGTGGTATATTAAAAATTTTAGTACAAAATTTAATAAAAATCATTTATTTTTATTAATTCACTTTTTTCTCTGTTTGTCTGTTCGGTAAAAAATTGGTACATCTTTCAAACTAACTTCCAAATCTGCTAGACTCTCTAGACTCTTTAAAAAAAATGGAAAACTTTGGGAGTTACAGTTCAGTCGTACGATATTTTGCGGACGATATCTCAATCTTAGCATCTTGTCGTAATGTAAATAACATGAATTATATATTATATAAAATATTTGAAATACTGACCAATGGATGAAAGAGCAAATTAACTACAAAAAAAACAAGAATTTTGCCTTTTTACCCCTATCAAAAACCGCCAATTAAAAGTATTTTTTCTTACAAAAATACAAAAATTGAGTCAGTAAATGAACACACTCTACTCCGCTTAATTTTAGATTAACTGGAAATCTCTTTCAGAAATTCGTAAGAAATTGTCTAGTTTCGTGTATGCACTAAGTAAAAAAAAGACTTTCAGACTGCGTTAAATACTTATAATGCCTATGCACAGGCGTGGCCAAGGTACGGTATTATCATGTGGGGTAACAGTACAGATGCACCCACCATCTTCATCTTACAGAAAAAGCTAATTCGCATTATGTGTAACATGCTGCAGCTATATTAGTAGTATAGTTGTAGCACGAATGGGTCGGCTCGACCGGGGAAGGACCACGCTCTCACAGAATACCAGAGTAAAATAGCAGCTTAACACTGCTGTGTTTCGTATGGTGAGTGTAGAGAACCCGAGACCCTTTTTACTGGAAAAGAGGCATTCCATCTTAGTCCTAACGGGTGACAACGCATCTGCATTTTGATTCTTTATTGAGGATAGATGTAGATGTCTATGGGTCACAGCAACCACTTACCATCAGGTGGACTGTGTGCGCATTTGTCACCTATCCTATAAAAAAAAACTGAAAGTTGTCGTCCTCATTTTATGAAACTTAAACTTCTTCTTTTTTTGTTGTATTTATATATTGAAATTATGCAAATTTGTACGAAACACCCTAATTTATACGTAAAAAGAGAAACTAAAAATACGCCTTATAGTTTCAGACATTTTTTTTACTTATTATAAGCCAGTGCTTGACCACAATCCCACCTGGTGGTAAGTGGCAGCCCTAGATGGTAAATCACACTGACAAAAGCCAATTCACTCTTGCCTTGAAGACGCCCAGATTGTATTCTGACGGAAAGATAGACGCCGGCAGATTATTCCACTCCTTTGCTGTACGTATTACAAAAGACGAAGCAAACCAATTGGTTCTAATGCGTGAAATATTGACAACAAAGGGGTGAAGACCCGCCGACCGCCTGGTTGTCCGATGGCGGAAATGAGAGGGAGGAATTAAAGCGTGTAATTCCTGTGCACATTTACCGAAATGCATCCCATAGAATACCGAGAGACTGGCTACTCTGCGCCTGTGCTCGAAGCTGACAAGATTTGTTTTAACCAAATCAAGGTCACCAATGAGCCTCTTAGCACGTCTCACCACTGAGTCCAACGTTGCCAGGTGGTATTTTGCAGCACCAGCCCATATATAACAGCAGTACTCCATGCATGACCGGACTTGCGCTTTATATAAGGTAAGAAGCTGCCCCGGCGTGAAGTACCGCCGCACTCGTGCAAGGACACCAAGTTTCCTTGCGGCTGCTTTGGCTCTCGACTCAATGAACCGCCCATAGTTGAGGTTCGGAGAAAATTCAACCCCTAACAACTGAAAGCGGTCCGTCTACTCCAAGGATACATTCCGGAAAGTAGGAGCCAAGGTGAGCGGGCTCCTTTTTGCGGTGAAAAGACACGCTTGTGTTTTGAAGGCGTTAAATCTCACGAGATTGGCATCGCCCCATTCAAAGACTGCCTGTAGTGTGAGATCTTAACCATAGCCCTCTTTCTGACTGGATTTGATCCCGACTGGCCCGGGCACTTGGTTGGTATCTCTCCACAACTGTGCTGTCATCTGCATACCCATGGATACCGGGAATGAGCAGATCACGGCATTTTCTCAATTTCGAGATTTCGTATGATCGCCTGTGCGTTCGGAATCCCGAACGGAAAAAAGCTCCGAACGCAAGTCTTTCATATATTTTGTAGTTGTGAGTCGCAAGTCGCAACACACATTCGTAGGCTGTAACTTTAACTTTTGAAGTTATAATTCTTTTGGCGCGTTTGAATGAAAGAATGAATGAGTTTTTTACGATGCGCGCGCACACCGAAACCTAAAAGCGACACTTCAGTTGGGAATTGTCAACTGTCAAGTTTCGTGAGAACTGATAACAATATACATAATCCATTACCAAACTAGGAAAAAAAACTATATTCATTTGAATATCATGTTTATGAAACTATAAAACGTGTTTTATTTTAGTTACTTTTGTTTTGTTATGCTAAAGAAGTATAACTTCTTACGTGCGTACATAAGTACACACACTTTTTTTTAACTATGGGCTTAAGGCCAGTATCTGCTGTAGAATTTGCCTTAATCGACACACTCGGAAAACAGATTGGTGATCGCTACCAAACGTTTCGCCTCTTGAGCTCCTCCTCGGCACCTATCTGGGCAATATAAATCTGACGCCAACGAGATGGCTATAACGCCAACGAGATGGCTATACCGCGATCTCTTGGAAACCATGAAATTTTCTCGCATTTCCCACATAATGGCCTATTCTAATGGAATAATATCGATTCTCTTACGCATCCACCATACGGCAAATGGCCGCCCCGCTCCACACCACGCACCACGCCCCGCTCCACGCTTATCACTGAGATACTTTACTTCTTTTATGTTTTAGATTGATTGTTACATGGTTAAATTTATTATATACTTTTAAAATATTTAGTCACGGCGTGCAGGAGACGTGATGCTGATGACAAACAGTACGCTGGTGGTGCAGATATTCTTCATCATGTCGAGTTTCCTTCTCGCCCACAAATTGCTGCAGGACCGCACATATTTACCGCCGATACGTACGTTCTTTACCACGATGGTTAATAGAATTATAAGGTACGTGAATTAATTTAAAAAGAAGTACTAACTTAATTTAAATAAAGATAACAAGGGCAAAGGCTAAAACAGTAATTAAAAAGCCCGACTACGTAAAAGAATTTGCTGAAAATAGAAAAGTTTTATAACCCTTGTCACTTCTGCGACGACACCACATATGTTAAGATCCATCAAGCCATTTCTTAAATTAAGTATTAATTATCTTTATATACTGTCTCTTTCTATTGTCTTTAATTACAAGTGGTAAAATTAAAAATTTTATTTAACCGACTTCAATATAAATATAATTTATTGTTGATTTTTTTTAAAACCGCTCGACCGATTTCGATAAAAATTAAATGGGACCACTTGAGAAGTATACTCTTTGAAACAAAAAAAGAATTTTCCGAATCGGTTCAGACGTCTTCGAGTAATCGGTGTACGTACATAAAAAAAGATTCCGACTAATTGTAAACCTCCTCCTTCTTGAAGACGGTTGAATAAAGAAATTTCCAAACGGTTCAGACGTCTTCGAGTAATCGGTGTATATACATAAAAAAAGGTTCCGATGTATTGTAAACCTCCTCCTTCTTGAAGTCGGTTGAACAAAGAAATTTCCAAACGGTTCAGACGTCTTCGAGTAATCGGTGTATATACATAAAAAAAGATTCCGACGAATTGTAAACCTCCTCCTTCTTGAAGTCGGTTGAACAAAGAAATTTCCAAACGGTTCAGACGTCTTCGAGTTATCGGTGTACATACATAAAAAAGATTCAGACGAATTGTAAACCTCCTAATTCTTGAAGTCGGTTGAACAAAGAAATTTCCAAACGGTTCGGGTGTCTTCGAGTAATCGGTGTACATACATAAAAAAAAGATTCCGACGAAATGTAAACCTCCTCCTTCTTGAAGTCGGTTGAACTAAGAAATTTCCAAACGGTTCGGACGTCTTCGAGTAATCGGTGTATATACATAAAAAAGGTTCCAATGTATTGTAAAACTCCTCCTTCTTGAAGTCGGTTAAACAAAGAAATTTCCAAACGGTTCAGACGTCTTCGAGTAATCGGTGTATATACATAAAAAAAAGATTCCGACGAATTGTAAACCTCCTCCTTCTTGAAGTCGGTTGAACAAAGAAATTTCCAAACGGTTCGGGTGTCTTTGAGTAATCGGTGTACATACATAAAAAAAGATTCCGACGAATTATAAGCCTCCTCCTTCTTGAAGTCGGTTGAACAAAGAAATTTCAGAACGGTTCGGGCGTCTTCGAGTAATCGGTGTACATACATAAAAAAAGATTCCGACGAATTGTAAACCTCCTCCTTCTTGAAGTCGGTCGAACAAAGAAATTTCCAAACGGTTCAGACGTCTTCGAGTAATCGGTGTACATACATAAAAAAAGATTCCGACGAATTGTAAACCTCCTCCTTCTTGAAGTCGGTTGAACAAAGAAATTTCCAAACGGTTCGGGCGTCTTAGAGTTATCGGTGTACATACATAAAAATGATACCGACGAATTGTAAGCCTCCTCCTTCTTGAAGTCGGTTGAACAAAGAAATTTCAGAACGGTTCGGGCGTCTTCGAGTAATCGGTGTACATACATAAAAAAAGATTCCGACGAATTGTAAACCTCCTCCTTTTTGAAGCCTATTAAGAGAGAGCGACTTTAAACATTTCATAAATTGTCATCGATTTTATTAGTCAGGCTCTAAGTTTTGGTAGAAGTAAAAGTGACAAGCGAGAACGCAGTCCACCTAATGGTAATCGAATGTTGTGACCCATAGATATCTACATCTATTCCATTATTCTATCCATCCATTACAGTTTATGAAAGTCCACTGTTGAATAGTTGTCGCGCTTGGCAAGCGGGTTGGCAACCACGGTTTTTTTTTTCAGTTTTCATCTATTAACGATGAAGATAAAAATAGAAACCCTTTATGTACAGTTTTTCTTTAATAAAACTTTTAAACTTGTTTATTGACAAACTTTGAACATGTTGTGGGATTTTGTTGTAAAAGCGTATACTCGTACATTGCCCCATAAATGAATTACTGATTCTGTGGAGTCTAGTAACTGGCATTACAAGCTTATGTTTGTTCCTAATGTTTAAAGTATGAACATCCTTATTTTTACTAAAGCTATTTATGTTTTTATGTACACATATTATATTTTCATAAGTACGTTGCGATGCCAAAGTTAATATGTTTATGTTTAATAAACTGTGCTTTCAAAATAAAGAAATGCCAAACGCTATGCCACGGAAAGCGCTGCGGAACCGACAAGGATTTTTTATATGTACATATTTTATACGTAAAAAACTTACAGCCTTACTAATAAAATCGACGACAAACGAACTTACAGTTAGTTCCGCTGATGATAACTGCAAACAAATCAAAGAAAGAAGGCTTCAGAAGCGTTGTCGCCTCTAGGACTGAGTCTCCTAATCTGTAATTATACTGGCGCTATATAGTCTTCAGACCGGAACACAGCAGTGGAAGAAATGCTATTATTAGGCGGCTATCGATCACTAATAAAAAACTAGATACACTATCCCATGCAAAAGTTCTCTAAAAACTGTCGCCAATTGTTTTCACGCATTGAGTTATATGTACTACGTACTAGAGAAGCCATTCCAAACAAAAATTGTTTGGAATGGCTTCTCTAGTAAACATGCGCGGTAGTAGTAGTCGCGCATGTGCGCGAAGACTTTAATTTGATATAAAATAAGATATTAATATAAAATATCTTAATTTAATCTAAACAAACATATTATATTTCTAAATAAAATGTAATAATTATTATTTTATGGAATTCAGAAATCTTCAATTTACGCAATATTTAGTTTGTACGGATTGCACTACAGTTCAGTTGAACATAGTCAATGTTCGGAATGGCTTCTATAGTACATAGTACATATAACTCAATATTTTCACGTAATTCTAGTTGAAATAAATATACATTAATGTAAATTCGACCTTAAATGCATTGCCTAAAGTTGCATTCACAAAGCTACGTATAAATTAAAAGCGCACCCAAATATTCGAGTGGGCGCTCATTCGGTGAGAACATTTTTTGTCACTGATTGTGTATCTAGTATTTTATGAGTGATCGATGTTGGTGGCAGGAATATATGTAATAATTCAATAATTTCAAATAATTTATATTCAGGCTAAGTCCAAGTTACTTTCTGGTGGTATGGTTCGCATCGAGCTGGTGGGAGCGTTTGGGCAGCGGTCCGCAGTGGGCTCCACTGGTCACTACCGAGGCACAGATATGCCGGCAGAAGTGGTGGACCCATCTGCTGTACCTCAATAATGTGTTGCATCCTGATGATAAGTGCCTTATACAGACATGGTAAGTGATTCCAAAAACAAGGTTGTCGGTAAGTAATAAATACAAAAACCAATTTTATATTGTTTAAATCAATTTTTTTCTTAATAATTACTTTAAGCAGACTTCAAGAATACAGGCTCTGTATTTTTTATGTACTATGCAACACTATACAACACTATATCCAATTTAATTAACCTCACAGTTTGTAAGTATAAAGAACTTTATTTTTGTAAATTACTAATAAGTGTTCAACTATCATATAATATAGGTATATAAATATGACTATGATTGTTTCACAAAAATTAAGGGATATAAAAAAATCTAAATTTTTGGGTGATTTTCAAAAAGCTGTAACGCCGAGGAAAATGATTTTACAACAAAAAAAAAAGCAAATGGGTCACACCAACATGTTTGCTAATTTGACAATAATATTTTATGTTTATATATGATATATATATATATATATATATATATATATATATATATATATATATATTATATATATTATATATATAGCTTTAAAGCTATGTTTATGAAAATAACAATAGTTTTTGTGGTGCAGTGGTTGCAAACATATGGTCCTACTTTTACTTTGACTTACTTTTGAATAAACTGATTGCGGTATTACGTTGGTAGTTGGTACCTATTCTGTTTTGAAAATGCAATGGTTGCAAACATTCAATGCCTGTAATTCTAAACTGATTTTGATGAAATTTGGCATGAAGGTATAACTTGATCTACAGTATTTTATCTTCTCATATCGGACTTTTATTCCCAAGGAGCGTGATATAACAGAAATAAAAAAAAACCAGAAAATAAAAGTTACTGATAAATAAATAACATGACAAGAAAAATATGGAGTAATAAATATGGAGAGAATAAGAAAAATATAACAATAAAAACTACCGGTGGCTTCGACGTGTCGATTTGTGACGTCACATCACGATGCGGACCAAAGTGGTCACCCTTACCGCAAAACACCACTTTACTCATCACTATTCCATTCATTTTTAAAGGTAAAAAAAAATAAGAATACCGTTTAATTCGTAATTTTTTATACAATTTTTTGATACCCTTAACAAAATCGGGTGGCCTTTGGCATTGTAGCTCCAAGTTTTCAGATCTGGCCATGAATTTTTTTATCATGTTTGGTTCTGGAATGGTCCTAAGGAAACCACCGATAAAATCCAAATTTTTGCTCGTCTTACAAAAGGTCTTTTTTGGAAATTTAATACCCTTGACGTAATAAAAGCCTGTAAGATAACTTGCCGTTATCGTCAATCAAAGGAAATGTTTTTTTTTTTTAACTTTGATAATCAATAACTTTGGAAATAATGATCGTATAGGAAATTGAAGGAAGGTTTTGAAAATTGCATGACATTCCCCACGAAGGTTTTGAAAGTTACCATGAATGGCTTTTGACGAAAAAAATTTTTTTCGAAGCTATAACTTTGTTTCAAAAATGATAAAAATTCGCATATTTAATGATATTTGGATGAGTTGGTACAACTTTGGATAAAATGTTGAAGGATATCGTCGGTAATTTTTCAACCTAAAAGTGTCCCGGAATACTCCTGAGAAAATCAAAGCGCTGCGATCTTTTTTTCTTAGTGCTAGCTTCAAACTCTTATTCATTATTCCAATTTTTGATTGATTTTTTTTTTACTGGCAGACTGACTCACTCCCATTGCAGCTGCTACTTCCACCTGACTGTAGCCCTCTTGAAGAAGAGTAACAATGCGAGCCACATCTGTGGCAGATAATTTTAGTGTTTTTTTTTTTTATGAGGGGTGTTTTTATGATAAGGGTGAGCGAGCACACACCTGATGGTAAGTGTTTGCTGTGACCCATAGACATCTACATCTCCTCGTTTACGAATCAAAATGCAAATGCGTTGTTACCCGTGAGGACTTTTCTTGCGTTGCGGTCGCTCTTGGCCGCCTGGAACGAGTGTCGCCAGCCGGTTCAGCCGCGTTTAAATTGACCGCACCAGTATGCCACTGTAGAATTAGATGGAGCATTATCTGCCAAAGTAGACTGCAGTTCTTCAAAAACACTTATTGTAGAAAAAAATTCAGACAAAAATATTTAATAACCACACGAAGTTCGAGCTTCTCCTTTTTGCATACGAATCAAATTCCCGCCAAATGTGAAGTTTGAAATAAATTGGGTATAGTTTTTAATTTAGTTTTTTCTGGCCTTGGCTACTTACGAATTTAAGTTTCGAACAAGAAAAGAGAACGATTTTGTATAACTCATTGATAAGGTGTCCTATTCCTAAAACTTATTGATCAACCTAATATTATGAAATTCCCAGGCAGCTTAAGATTTGTCCAATTCTAACGATCGGACAACGTCATATAAAATGACCTGGCGGCATTAGGGTCAGCCGTTTCCACAGGGCTAGCTTTCACAAAGACAACTACTTAAACGTTGAACGATAAATAATGGGCCTAAGCGTCGAACTGAATGCTAGCGTCTAATAAAAGCCTAGCCCTCCAACTAATTTGCTAATTTAACCATCTGATTTATCCAACCAACCAATAAAGTGACGACATATTGTTTAAGTTTTGTTAAATTCTACTAAGGTACGTGAGGGTAATATGGTCGCCTTAAGCATTGTCGCCCTACAAAATCAAAAGTAGAAGGAGTACAGGGACAAAAACACAAAGTCGTACACTATATCTAATATATTAAGAAAAAAATAGCAAACAAGCTTTGGAAATAATTAGGATTATTTCCAAAAATCAACTTAAAAATAACTAAAAATAAACTAGCTACACTACACAATACGAAAATCGACTAAAATTTAAAATATTTAATACTAGCTTTACACCGCGACTTCGTCCGCGTGTAATTTGGTTTTAATTTTTTTGCGCGGAACCCTAAATTATTTTCTAAAATTAAAGTAGCTTAAGTTACTCCTTATAATATCAACTATCTGCCAGTGAAAGTCCTGTCCAAATCGGTCCAGCCGTTTCGTTGATTAGCCGGAACAAACAGACAGACAGACAGACAGACAAACATTTTAAAAATTGTGTTTTTGTTATAAGTACCGTATATACTTTCATATGCATTTAGTAAAATGCTGTTATATTGACATTACAAACAGACACTTCAATTTTATTTATTTCTATAGATAATGTCAATTGTCTACATGGCGTCGATACAGCAACGCACTTTTGCCCCTTTATTAATTGACTAGCTGTTCCCCGCGACTTTTACTTGTTTTAATTTTTTTGCGCGGAACTCTAATTCTTTTTCTATATTAAAAGTAGCGTAAGTTACTCCTTGTGACATCAGCTATCCGCCAGTGAAAATCCCGTCAAAATCGGTCCAGCCGTTTCGAAGATTAACCGGAACAAACAGACAGATAGACGGACAGACAGACAGACAAAAACTTTAAAAATTATATTTTTGTTATTAGTACCGTATATACTTTCATATGCATTTAGTAAAAAGCTGTAATTTTGACATTACAAATAGACACTTCAATTTTATTCAAATAAGAAAGTGATCATATTAACCGGATGACCATATTACCCTTACGTACTATAATTCTTCGCTAGCATCAAAATCTATATCAAAAATATAAAACTTAAATACAATATCGTTATAAATACAATACCATTACCATTACAGCCTGTTAAGGTTCGCTGCTGAACATAGGCCTCCCTCATATATTTCCTCGAAGGAGAATATTTGCCCTAGTTGCCACGCTTGGCAAGCGGGTTGGCAACCACAAATTCTTTTTTAATTTAGTCCTTACTAAGAAGACGTTGCCGCTCATCTCCTGATTTGTTTCGCTCTGCCACCTCTTACGACACCCACGGGATGATATAGCGGTAGTGGATATTCTTACACCGCCACATCACTAGGTATAACATGTGATATAATGAAATAAAGTTAAAAATATAAACTTAAGTATTAATATACATAAAAAGTAGTTTGATCAAACTACATTTTATTTTATATTAGCTGCCCGCCTCGGCTTTGTCCGGCTTGAATAATTATATATCTTAAATGTTAGGAAGGTATAATTCATTTGAAAACTTCATGGTTACCACATGACGCAGCGGCCGTAGAAACTCTTAAAAGGCACAACTTTATAATATTAACAGTATAGACTAGACTAGACTATAGATGGTAGTGACTACCAGCCACATTATTGACTTTTAATTCGACGCTAATGCCAGTTGCAAACTTGCAAATTGCGATTTTTTTATAGGATAAGGGTGACAAATGAGCACACAGTCCACCTGATGGTAAGTGGCTGCTGTGGCCCATAGACATATACATCTATCCTCGATTACGAATCAAAATGCATATGCGTTGTTACCCGTGAGGACCCAGATGGAATGCCTCTTTTCCAGTAAAATGGGTCTCCAGTTCTCTTTACTCACATTACGAAACACAGCAGTTTTAAGCTGCTATTTTACGCTGGTATTCTGTGAGAGAGTGGTCCTTCCCCGGTCGAGCCGATCCATTCGTGCTACAACTATACTACTAATATAGCTACAGCATGGCTGTACCACGTATAAAACGTCTGTTTGTTCCGGCTAATCTCCGAAACGGCTTGGCCGATTTTGATGGGACTTTCACTAGCAGACAGATGATGTTATTAGGAGTAACGTAAGATTTTAGTTCAGAAAAATAATTAGGATTCTGCGCAAAAAATTAAAAACCTAAATTACACGCGGGTAAAGTCACGAGGAACAGCTAGTTTTAAGATAAAACCAATACCAATTTGCAACTTACGAAAATAATTTAATAATGTTGCTCCACACAAATAAGAGATCGTCCTGTAAAATAAAAAGCGTCGTACGCACTGTATCATCCTACTCGTATTTCACTCTCTGAGGCTTTGAGTTTTTCAAAATCAAAAGTATTGTACTTATGTTATGTTAATAAACTGAAATAAATTAACAATTATATCTAATCCCTTGTCACTGTGTGATCACCGATGATTGGCTAGCATCGTTTAACATTTGATATTTGCCCCTAGAAAGAAGGATAAAATATTTTAGACAATTTTAATGGACTATTTCAAAAACTATTATATTACTAAAACCAACAACATTAAATTATTGTTCTGCGCTTAGCTCCAGTCAAAATTTACAGCATGATTAATATATTGGGCACAAGCCTAATAAGGCTTGTGCCCAATATATTAATAAATATCATTTCTAAGAAGGTTAAGAGTGTCGCAGCGTCAGAGTACAGTGTGTTATTGGACTACATAATATGTCCTTGAAATATATTATTTCTCAAATATACAGGTTTCCTCGCGATGATTTCCAGCATGTGTTTTCACGATGTTACAAATCAAATTGTATGTGCTTGAAGTGTTGTCTCCCTAACACTTCAAGCTGGAGCACAGCTGTGGCTGGGCAGTGCTACTTGAGTGCATATCAGAATATGGATCCAAAACAAACAGACTGCTAGGCAATGCAAAGGGACGCTTAGGATAATAAACCATTGAATTCCAGGTACCTAGCAGCGGACACACAGCTCTACGCAGCGGCATTAGCACTAACACTGCTGTTGCGCAATCGCAAATGGGCCACAGTTGCGTTGGGAACACTGTTGGTCATTGCAACAGGAGTCACTTTCGGCCTTGCTTACACCTGGCATCTCGTGCCAACGTATTTCGTACATCGACCTGAGTAAGTAATAATTTTTTACACAAGTAAGCGTGACAAACAAGTCTAATCATTTTCCACACAATATGGATGCCGTGACCCATAGGCATCGGCACTCTGACGAATAAAAATCAAAATGCAGATGTGTTTTTACCTCTGAAGCTAAGATGGAATGTGTCGTTTTATCTTCTTCGGTTTCCGTTACTGACCATACAAAACACTGCAGCAGTTAGGTTGTTATTTTACTTGTATTGCGTGAGTGTTACTTATTCTACAGAAATATGGGGAGTTCTACGTTTACGAACCCGCCTGCCCAGACCAGCACGTTAAATATGATCATACATCATATAATAATAATAATAATAAGTTTATTTCTTAAACCAATACAATTTTAAACTAAATGGTGACCGGGGTCCCCTTTTAAGCTAAAGAACCTGTGTCACGGGGCACCACTCTTCCTTAAATTTGCAATTATTATTAAACTGACAGTTTTAGCACGAAACCGCAATCTCCCCTAGGTCTGAAATACACTCTACAATAATGTGGATGTTCTATTTTACTTTGTCTAATAAACCTTCTGTTTCCTCATAGTTTTTCGTTTCTAACCAGTTTTGCAAAAGCATTTTACATTCAAAGTATGTTTTACCATATAACTGATATCATATAAATAAGTAGACGGCTCCGTGGCGCAGTGGCTTAGCAAGTTACAACGCTAGGGGCCGCGGGTTCGAATCCCGCACGGAATAAGTATTTTTATGGCCTACAAATAATTGTTCCGAGTCTGGATGTTTGTTCTTGTGCAATTTATGTTTGTAAACTGCCTTTACGATACAGGAGAAAATCCTAGTATGGAGGTAACGTTTTTTTAAACAAAAAAAAAGTATGATGCATTCTTGTTAATTAAAACCATATCTAGCGGTGTAATCACAAGGCTCATAAAAATAATTAGAATGACAGTGACAGAAATATTTTGTTTTATTAAAATGAAGTCATAAACGCACTAACAATACAATCTAATGATGAGTCGCTATAGCACACCATGGTCACTTGCAAGTTACTTCAAACAAAGAAGACTACAGATGTATTGCCGCCTATGAGGGCTAGATTGGACTGCCTCAATGCCAGAATGCCAGCCCGTAATTATAAATAGCGGCACGAATGTCTAGCGGTGACCGTTATTACGCATTAGTCGCACTGATTGGCTCGTGCCTATCGTACGCACGCGCTGATTGGCTCTTCAATCGCATTCGTGCAATTCAATTCGTATGCATCCCATTTCACGTTTCGTTCAGCGCTAGACTTACATGCCGCGACTTGTACACCATACCCTCCAAACCAGAACACAACACTGCGCGCACTGCTATTTGGCGGCAAAAATAGATAAGAGCGGTGCCGATTTAAACGGACTCCTAGGAAGAAACGGAGTGCTACCACCTAGTAAATATAATTTTACGAATTTCATCGCATTTATTTTTTTACTTCTTTTTTAATTTTTGAGGTTTCGTAAGTTTTGTTTTGTATGACCAGTGGCGAAAACCAGAGACCGTTTTTACCAGAAGCGGACCATCTTAGTCCGCAGAGAAGACAATTCTGCATGCATTCATGCATTTTAACTCATTATTGATGAAGGTGTCTATTGGCCACAACATGCACTTACCATCCTGTGCACAGTGTGATCGTTTCTCACGCTTACTAATAAAACAAAACTTTATACTTTTTAAGTACGTGTAAGTGCTTTTAAAACCTTGGGCAGGTCTATACGCGCTACGTATCACGGCGACGCTTCATTCAACGTGCTGTATCAATCGCCACTCGGTAACGCGGTGGGCGCACTCTGTGGTCTTCTGTTGGCTCACGCGCACCACGCGCTACGACGTGCGGGGCTGCGTCCCGAGGAATGCCAGGTTTGAACGAAGCAAGAGCAAAGTCGTCGTAAATCCATTAACCCTGTTGTAGTCATTCGTACTCTGGCCACTATAAAGTCACGTAGCGAATTAACATGAAAATTCCTTTAATAAAACATGCCAATTATCTGAAATGGATGTGTATTTGTCATATTTGCATATCATCTAGCAATTACCAACTGCTGATTGTCGTTAAGTTACTACTTAAGACCACTTGAGACTTGTTATTTAAATAGAGACAATATTTATCATGTAAGTTATAAACTCGTATACCTAACTACTTTGATGTTCCTGTTATTAAAATAAAGGATGTTGACAAATTCATCACGTGCCAGATCTTGTCTTTGAATGTTTGTTCTTGTTTTATAAAAAAAAAAGTTCAAAGTTATTATTTATAAATTATATATGGTACTTCTGCAACAGTCTAATAGCAATATAAACGTAAAATAATAAAAAATCTTAAATATAAACGTGGTAGAGCCACGCTATATTATGGTTGTAGCACGAACGGGTCGATCGGCCGGGGTAGGACCACGCTCTCACAGAATACCAACGTAAAATGGCAGCTTGACACTGCTGTGTTTCGTATGGTGAGTGTAGAGAACCGTGTAGAGACCCTCTTTACTGGAAACGTGGCATTCCACGTCAGTCCTCAGGGGTGACAACGCGTCTCCATTTTATTACTTAATTGAAGATAAATGTATATGTCTATGGGCCACACCCACAGCATCCACTTACCATCAGGTGCAATGTTTGCTCGTTTATCACCCATGTTCTATACAAAAGAAAGCAAAACCGTTCCGCCAAGAGCAATTTTAATTTTAATATCTGATTACGATTAGGTACGTACTGAATGGTAAAGGAAACATCAAGACGAAGCTAACATGCAACATACTTCATTCATCCATTTCAGCCTAACAAGTTTACGGCTAAACACACTTGTAGGCCTCCTCGTCCCCCGGGGATATTGGCCATAGTTATACTTAGCAGATGGGCCAAATCTCTGCCAAGAGTGGTAACTATACATATGTAGGTATTACCGTTGTTTTTTTTATTATTTTGATTTGTTATCGGAAGATGATGCTGCCCATCTTCTGTTTCATTTCTCTTTTTCGCCTCTTACGACACCCGGGATAACGTTGGGTAGAGGATATTCTTATTTCGCCAATACACGGCTAACCTTTATAGGTAGAGAAATTAAAAATATTTGCCAGACATGTGATTTCTGCCAATCCTCACTGGAGCAGCGCAGGGTAGCAGACAGCGCTGTTATTATAATTATTGGTTTTGAGACGATCACAATACATTATGCATCGAAGTCTACTTACGATTTTACCGCATAAGTCTTTTTCTCTTGACTTACTTATAATCCCTAATATTATTGTGTATTAACATAGAAATGAGGATATCTACAGAAGAAGCAGAGTAACCGACATAGCCCAACGGATTAGTAAGCTGAAGCGGCAATGGGCCTGCCATATAGCTCGAAGAACCGACAACCGATGGGAAAGAAAAGTTCTCGAGTGGCAGCCTCGTACCGGTAGGTTCGTGGGGCGGCCCCCACGAGATGGAGTGACGACCTAGTAAGACATGCAGGAAGTCGATGGATGCTGGTGGCATTCCTTGGGGGAGGCCTATGTTCAGCAGTGGACGTGTAAAGGGCTGTAAACATGATGACGATGATGTACTTGAAAAATTCAAAGTTAGACCTAACTTTTTATTTCTCGTACGCCTATATGAATCAATCTTAGCAATGGCAGAAAGAATTTATTGTATATGTGTTTGACTACTACCTACCCACCTGAATGTATCTATATGTAATGATATATTTTTTATAGGATAGGGTGACAAGCGAGCACACAGTCCACCTGATGGTAAGTGGTTGCTGTGGCCCATAGACATCTACATTTATCCTCGTTTGCGAATCAAAATGCAGATGCGTTGTCACTAGTGAGGACTAAGATGGAATGCCTCTTTTCCAGTAAAAAGGGTCTCTGGTTCTCTACACTCACCATACGAAACACAGCAGTGTTAAGCTGCTATTTTACGCTGGTTTTCTGTGAGAGCGTGGTCCTTCCTCGGTCGAGCCGACCCATTCGTGCTACAACCATAATATAGCTGCAGCATGGCTCTACCACGTAGAGCTGGTTTGGCTTTATTTTGCAACACGGCAGTAATACTCCCATGCACGACTGGACTTTTGCTTTATATACCTACATGTAGTAAACAGCTGTCCTGGCGTGAAGCACCGCTGCACCTTTTTTTTTAATTTTTATTCAATTTAATCTTGATCAAGCTCATAACAATTTCAAAATCTACACAGTGATATTCATTCTGTAAATACTAAGAACAGACACAAGCTAGTAGTACCAGTTACTAGACTCCACCGAGTCAGTAAATGATTCTTGGGGCGACTTTGGCGCTTTTACAATAAAATTCCACAAAATAGGTATACAAAATGTGACCTGCTCAAAGTTCAAAAACTTTATTTAAACTAAGTTTGTATAAAAAGGTTTATTATAATATTAAGAAATTTATGAATGATAATAATCCCTGGGAATGAGGTGATCGCTACCAAGTTATTTCTAATTTGTTGTATTGTTAATTGTGTAACATACATGAGTGTAAGCTGTTTTTAAAAAAAAAGTCCCGCTGGGTTTCTAGCTGGTTCTTCCCAGGACAGTTTTTTTTTCGAACCAGTGGTAATTAAACAAAAGAGTGACTTTCAATAAGTATTATAACCTATATAATTCTATATTGAATAAAAAGTTTCTGTTCTGTTCTGGACAACGGTTCTCAAAAAATTTTCCTCCTCAGCAAATGAACAAGCAAGAAATTCTGGGGCCTTATTTAAAGCCGCAACTTATAAAAAAACAATTCATAGGTCATAGGTCAATAATAGTACATATAAAGTAATGTAAGATATATGCAAGGGACCGATTATTGAATCGTGTGAAGTTAGCGTACGAGTGAAGCGAGTGTACTAACTTTACACGTTTTAATAAATGACTTAACTAAAACATAACGTAATTCTATGCCGTACCGTAATCGGCTAGTCCCGCATGAGCGTGACTTAAACGTGGTTTTAAGTCACCGTGTACCACAGAACTTACACTCTACCCGTGTACTATAAATATTTGGTTTGACATCTTGATGTCATAATTAACGAAGGCTACCTTCAACTTTTAATTCCGTAAAATTAGTTTTATTCCATGTAGTATTTGCGTAAATATATGAAATCATTTATAAGTAAGTCAAGAGTTTGAGGCGCCTTGATTGGCAATAAAAAGCCCAATCGAAATAAATATCCTCCGCAGATTTTCCGCTGGGTGTCGGTATTAGCTGCGCCGTTCGCTCTATGGTGGGTGGCGCTCTCTCCACTGCTGCTGCCTGTGGGCCCGCCGTCACGTGGCGGCGCTGCCGCACTTGCGGCGTTCGAGAGGCCAGTGTTTGCGCTACTTGTCGCTGTAGCGCTTCTTGGCGCTATGAATGGAGTTCGATGTATGCTTTATAATTTAGATTTATTTAAAACTGTATCTACCTTTGTATGTGGTTTTCAAGGAAGTAAATTTTATTTTTACTAGATGTGCCCGGCATTCATTTCGATGTGTCTTTTTTGTCAGAAGTTTATCAGAAGTAGTAGCAGTTTCATTGTAATCAGATGTATCGAATAGTAGACAAACAATATTTACCTACATTAAATTATATTTTAGCTTATGCATATTATATAATAAATGTATTAGGTAATTAAAGTTCGTTCGCTAAAACAATATTTAGTAAAATTCAGTTAGCCGGGTACGTTCGTTCCAGGAACATTCTCAACTTCGATATAGGCATTGAGTTATATGTACTACGTACCAGAGAAGCCATTCCGAACATTGACTATGTTCAACTGAACTGTACTACATTCCATAAAATAATTATTATTACATTTTATTTAGGAATATAATGTTTGTTTAGATTAAATTAAGATATTTTATATTAAATTCTTATATTTATTTTATATAAATAATAAAGTTAATACTAATGTTAATTTTTAATAACAAAGTTGCCTGCTTCAATTTTATGGGATCCTAGTACATCCAGCAAAACCATATTAAAATTTGATATTTGACATCCTTCAACTACACTAGCTAACTTCTAATTTAAACCTCTAAATTCTATAGTACCCTGGTATATCGACCACTAAAAGTGTAAAATATGGATAAGTCACTTTCACAGACAAATCTTAACGAATTAAAGGGTTAACTCCAAAAGACATACTTCACCATATTTTAAAATATCTGAACGGCAAAGAGGTAACAAAAGAAAGAAGGACAGTGAAGACGCTTCTCTGCGATCCAAGACAGAAACTTTGGTTTGTGATTTCGTGAAATTTAAACAAGAAGTGAAATCTATGATTAAATTATTGTTTACGGAACAACAGGATGAACTTAAAAAGATTAATCTTACCCTTACTTGTATACAACAAACAAATGCTAAAATTGAAAATTCGATCGAATTCCTGAGTCAGCAAAATGAAGAGTTCAAGAAGAAAATAGCTACTTTAGAATCACAGTCTAAGGAAGATAGAGCTTATATTGAGATTTTGGGAAATAAAATAGACAATCTGCAGAAGGAACACAGGAAAGCTAATTTTGAAATTAAAAATGTACCGAAAAAGAATTTGAAAATAAATCATATCTTATAAATATGGTAAAGATGTTGTCTAAAAACGTCGGTTCAGATTTGACTACGTCCGATATAAAGGATATCTATAGAGTACACGGAAAAAAAGGAAGTCTCCAAATACACCTATTGTTGTAGAAACAACATCATCCCTTCAGAAAATGGATTTGCTCAAAAAATGCAAGATCTTTAATAATATGAACAAATCTAAGCTCCGTGCGAAACATCTTGGTATGACTACCTCTGAGGAGACCCCAATATTTGTATCTGAGCAATTAACTGCTAAACTCTAGACTGCCAGACTCTATTTTATTGCCAGGGATATAATTAAATCTACGGATTGTAAATATTCCTGGACCAATTATGGCAATGTCTACGTTAGAAAAGATAATGAATCCGCCATTATTACATTGACTTCTGAACCCCAAATTCATAAACTGTTCAATGTAAAATGACTAGATTTTGTGTTTATGTTGTCATATTGTTTGTATTCTTGGTTTCTGTTATGGTTTTTTTATTTTATTACGCTGTACGCTGCGTTGGGAGGCAAACGCGCGTTTATGGTTAGGCGTTATTACGATATCAATTTTAATTAATGTTCTTACACTTACACTCACTCTCATACTAAACACACAACACACAAAATCAATTATACATTTCCCAAGTTTACCATGGCGTAGAGATAATGGCAAAATATTTATAATTACTAAATTTTATGAAATATTTAGCACAATGACCTTCCGTGTTATTCTCAAATATTCAATTTTAAACTACCCCCTCGATCATTTCAATCTTTATATTTATATTAAATTAAATGGTTACTTCTTTGCAAACACTAAATGACATAGATTTTGCTAAAATTGCTGACTCCATACAATGCAATATCCAGGACTTAGGTAAACACATTAAAATTAATAAATCAGATCTTACTATCTTTACGCAAAATATAAGAAGCGTGAATTGTAATTTTGATGATCTTTTGGTAACTATTGCGCAACTAGAATTTCATCCTGATGTATTGGTCCTAACAGTGTCATCTAGATAAAAGCAAAGCTATTTCTATTCTTCCAAACTATACTCATCTTGCAACAACACATCATATTAATCAGAATGATGGTGTAGTGATATATACAAAATCCTTATTAAAAGCTAACATTACAGAAGTTGTATTAAAAGAGGCGTCATGCTTACAAGTAAATATTTTTAACCATGTTGTACTTGGTATATATCGCTCTCCATCCAATAGTAACGCGTCAAATTTTATAGATTCTCTAAATAACCATTTGTCAACTATAAATTCTGCTAATGTTACTATCACATGTGACATAAATATAAATATAATTCCTAAATCTAATGAAAAATTATATGAATGCAATAACAGAATAAATTATTTGTACATGTTGTCTACACACGGTTTATTAAATGGACATAATTTTCCTACTCATGAAAATAGTTGCCTAGATCATATAATTATAAAATGTAATGGATCTAAAGTGTCAGCATTTATAGCAATTATTAACACAACAATTACTGATCATCTAAGTCTATTACTAATCCTATCAAAAAGTAAACATAAATCTATACAGACTAAAACTAAATTAATAATAGATTACGAGAAAGCATACAATGTTTTGCTTGAAAGAAACTTAGAGAGTCTACTCTTGTGTGAAGACCCTAACTTACTTAATGAACAGCTTACTCAAAAGTTAAAATAATCAGTGGATGAGGCTAAAATTACTAAGTATCTTCCAAAAACTCAGCGAACTATAAAGCCTTGGATCAGTACAGGTATTTTGCGATGTATAAGGAACAGAAACCAAATGCAGCTTAAACTAAGATCTGACCCAGATAATAATATTCTAAAAATAACATTTAAAAGATATCGTAATCATTGCAATAATTTGATAAAAAAACTAAAGAGAAAATACGAACGGGAACAACTTACTAATGCTTCTAAAAAATCAAAAAATCTTTGGAAAACTATAAATACTATTACTCAATACAAACCCTCTAAGACACATAGCAATTAACTCCTTACAATAAAATCATCTCCTAATGAATCAATTAATTTTGTTGGTGAATTTTTTGCTAACATTGGAAAAAAACTAATGACATCAATACACCTGAAAATCCTATACAAAATACAAGTCCTCATTTGACATCATTCGTTCTGTTTGACACTGATCCACAGGAAGTTGTCCTTACTATTGATAGTCTCAAAACTGATAGTGCTGCTGGTTGGGACAATATTCCTACTGAATTTCTGAAATGGTGTAAGTTTCTCATCGCCCCTGTAATTAGTCACTTGGCTAATCTTTGTTTTCGTACAGGATTATTCCCGCTCTCACTTAAAAAAATCTTTAATTACTACGGTTTATAAAAGTGGTAAGAGAGACGATGTCAACAACTATAGGCCTATCTCAGTCCTTACATCTATTTCAAAAATTTTAGAAAAAATAATAAACATTCAAATTATTAAGTATTTAACTAAATATAACAAAATATCAAAAAATCAATTTGGATTTAGACAAAAAATGTCTACTGAAGACGCGGTTTTAGCACTTACTTCTTTAATAATTGAAAATTTTGATCACGGAAAAAAATGTATTACAGTTTTTCTTGATTTAAAAAAGGCATTTGACACCGTCTCTCTCCCCACACTAGTTGCTAAACTAGAACATATCGGCATTCGAGAAAAAGCACTTGAATTGATGAGGGACTATTTACAGGGACGTACCCAGAGGGTGAAAATTGTAGACTACCAAAGCCAAGACTTCGACATTACTTACGACGTACCACAGGGGAGTGTCTTGGGCCCTACTCTATTCTTGATATATATTAATCAGCTCACAGAATTAAATATTGAGGGTGACCAAGTCTTTTCGTATGCTGATGACACTGCTATTGTGTTTACTGATTTATTTATTTATTTATTTATTTATTTATTACAAGATCCACAGCCCTAATTACAATGTAAATGAACTTAAGAAATAAACTTACAGCCAATAACGGATCTACTTTATACATTTTTTAACTTAAATTAATCGACCGACAATCAATAAGTTTGAGCCACAAAAACATAGAATTTTAGAATTAACAATTAAAAACAGCGCGTCTATCTTTCTCTCTGATCTGTGTGTTCATGTACGCGCGCTTGTGTGTGTGTGTGTGTGTGTGTGTGTATGTGTGTGTGTGTTTTTTTATTTTATTTATTTATTCATGAAAGAGTGTTACATAATTTACATTTCAAACTTTGCCAAACTGTATGCCAGTTTGTCGGCAACGCAACAGTTTATCGTTTCACACTCCTATATAACAATATAAGTTACTTATAAATACTTAAATTAACATACACATAATTAAAGAAACACTCACTACTAAGGACACAACGACAGGTAATGTTTCCTCAAGATTGTTTTGAGCTGCGACTTAGTTATGTTTTCGTCATAAATACCAGCAACCTCATTACACAAGGTCGGAGTTATCCATTGTCTTGTACGTCGTCCAAAGTAATTTTCAACCCTAGGTATGAGATATTTCCTCCTTTGTGTAACTTGGCGCTTCGGCATTATGTATGTCTTAGGTTTCTTAAATGTTACCATACCATGCTGTTCTAATATGATGATGGATTTTACTTTCTTATTTATGGGAAGAATTTTGCAAATTTTAAATAACATTTCATAATTTTTATCTATAGCATTTTTGGTTTTACGATCAACTAATATCTTTAAGAATCTTATTTGTATAGACTTTATTTTGTTAAGATAAGTTGGGAAAGTAAGTCCATATGCACTTAAGCCATATCCGATCGTTGCGTCTGCCAAGGCATAATA